AACTGGAACCGTGGGTCCGCCAGTGGGTTGAAGGAGAAGTCAACTGGCTCTGGCCTCTAGCAGGGGAAGAGATGGGGTTATCCCCCGTCGGCACGTGGCACAGCCAGGCACCGCACCGGCCCTGCGGCAGCCTTACCTCTCCCAGCTCCGCCTTGTGACCCAGCACGTCCTGCACGTCACCTGTGAAGCGGGGCATGGAGTTAACCAGGACAGGGACCCAACGCTGCTGCCCCACTGGCACCCATGCCCGGGGTGGCCACAGGGCAGCGGCAGCCCCACAATGCTACGGCCGAGCCCCCTCATCCCCTGACTCCCCCAAGCGCCCCAAAGGGTCTTCAGGAGGGGACCTGGGGCACGCACACACCGCAGGCAGACCCAGCCCATGCCCTGGTGCCCCGCGCTCACCGTAGCTGTGCCCGTTCACGGAGCACTTGCTGAAGACCATGATGTTCTGGGTGAGGGTGCCGGTCTTGTCGGAAAAGATGTACTCCACCTGCCCCAGCTCCTCATTGAGGGTGGTAGTCCGAGCCTCAGCTGGCGTCCGGCGCTTGGCACAGTACATCTTCTTGTCCCAGTTGATGAAATAGCTATGCCCGAGACGGATCACCTCCACGCTGCAGAGGGGGACAGCCGGGTGTCACCGCGGCAGGGCAGCACGCTCTGCTGAGCCAGCAAGGGGCACAGACGCACACACACACATCCCCCCCCAGACCCCCAAGCGCCTGGGGCACCCCGGCACCCAGGGCTCCCACGCCGTTTGCCGGCTCCCGCGCCCTTCCCCAGGGCTGGCCCACACCCGGCTCCTACCGACAGCCACCGCCAAGCCAGGGCTGGGGACACGGGGCCTGGCACCGAGGGGTCTCCCCGGGCATCTCACCCACCTACGCGCCCCAAACCCCCTCCCCGGCCCCCAGGGCAGACAGCAATGAGCTAGTGGGAGGGGTGGGGGCGACACGTTCTTACCTCGGGGCTAAGGGTGACAGAACCCATGCTGGGGAACGAAAAGAGAGAGAAATTAAAAGAGAGAGAGAAGGGGACAGTGCAGGAGCCTGGGAGCTGCAGGAGGGCAGAGCAAAATAACCAGCATGCAGCCAGGGAAGGGAGAGAGGAGCAGCCAGACAGACACAGCCGGGGGGGGCCCCGAGGGACCTGTGGGGTCTCAGGTCTTGGGGTATCCCCGAGGGCAGACGTGGCCCATCACCAGGACAGCAGCCCGCGCCCACCCCACACGCACAGCTCTGCCCGTGGGTCTCCATCCCCGTCTCCCCTCCCCAGAGGGCACCCCTAATTCCCCCTCGCGCACCCCCAGCCCTGCCCCTGGGCCCCTGCCCTACCTCACGTAGAGCGAGATGGGCACCACAGTGTTGAGGATGATGATGTAGGACCAGAAGGAGAGGAAGCCGGAGAAGAAGGCACTGTGCACCCCCTCGTCCCAGGGTAGGTAGATCTGGAAGCAGACGCCCACCTCGTGCTCCCAGATGGCGTTGCCGATGGCCAGGATCACCCCCATGCACACCAGGAACCCAAAGATCTGAGGACAGGACAGGACATCAGAGCCCCAACCGGGCCAGAGCCGGGGCTCCCTGGGATCTGCATTCCGCATACCCAGAGCACCAGCGTGTTCATCAGCCGATCGATGCTCGTCCGCTTGAACTTGGTCCGGCCGCTGTTTTGCATCAGTTTTGTGTCGGGTCCTGGGGAGAAGGAAGCGCATCAGCGGGGTCTTTGCCTTCCGCACAGTGCGGCGGCAGCAGCTGTCTCAGCCCACCTGCAAAGATGACGAGGCCGAAGCACCACTCGGTGTTGCGCAGGACGCAGCCCCGCAGCAGCATGTTCTGGTTGCTCAGGGGGTATTTGTTCTCCTTCCAGTACAGCGTCCCACCAAACTTGTCCAGCTTGTTGTTGGGGGGTTCACAGATCACCTCACCTGGGAACAGGGAACGGCTCGGCTGTAACACGCCTTCTCCATACGGCCGGCTCCATCCCAGTGCTCCCAGCACCACCCCCAGCTCCCCAGAGATCCGCTTTAAGCCACAGGACCACAACACCGCGTGGACGGTCCTGGTCTCTCCAGGGTGGACACACGCCAGGTGATGGAGAAGGAAACCCAGGGGCTGCCCCCATCGCAGAGGACCGGTCGCAGGCACTCACCATCAAACCGAGCCAGCTTGCTGGTGTCACCCAGCTCCGAGGTGACGGGGATGGCCTGCCGCACCTTCATGTTGGTCTCTCTGCAGGCAAGGAGGCACCACGCGTGGGGTTAGAGACAGCCTGGCAGGGAGGGCTTTCACAGATGCTCCCCGGTTTCAGGTCCCCGGCAGCTCCTGCCCTGCCCGCAGCCCGTTCTCACTCCTACCTCTCGCCTTCCCTTGTCACGCGAGGTGAGCAGCGGTTACTTACCCGTCCAGCTCCGCGGTCTCTATGTAGCACAACCCATGGGGTTCGCTGCTGGAGAGGAGGAGGAGGTCAGCCTGCCGGGAGAGACACATGAAGGGTTGTGTTGATACTGGGGCTCCCCTACACCTTTCCCCCGGGAAGCTCCTGGCCCTTGGATGCCAGGGGCCAGTAGGGTCCCTGGAGCTGCAGGTCCCTAGCAAGTCGCTGCCAGCACCCTGGCCTTGAACCCCGTATCAGCCCATAAATGCCCAGAGCTCAAATGCTACAACCTAAATGCAACTTCCAGGCTGGAAAGACCCTGATTTCTCCACCCCAGGAGGTGATGGAGGAGCACAAAAGCAGAGCGGGCACAGCATCACGCCGTGCTGCTGTCCCAGTGCGCCGCCCACCCAGGACAGTGCTCATCTTGGGGCCACACTCACTGCCACAAACTGGTTGTTCTCCAACTTGATGATGTCTCCCACACGGACATTCATCCACTGCTCCTGACGGAGGCTGCAGAGGGACAGCGGAGTGGAGTTAGGCAGGAACTGGCAGCGGTGCTTCTCCCCTGCCCCACTGCGCTCTGCCGCTGCCCTGCAGCCCTGTGCCACGTCCCGCAGAGCCCCGCGCCCCCTCCCCAGCTGCCCCATCCCCACGACACTCACACTCCGCCGATCAGCACCTGAGACTGCCGGTTGTTCACCTGGTTGTCACTTTTATGGCGGAACTGGGTGCGGAGGGGAAGAGACAGCAACGTCAGCCCCTCTGAGGATAGGGTCCTGCATCCCTCCCCCTGCAAACGCCACGGCCCCGGGCACCGCACACCCGCACCCTGTTCACAGCCCCCTGCCCAGTCCCAGGTCCCCATGCCCAGCGGGCAGCCAGCCCAGGTAGAGGGGCGCGTGGGAGACCACTCACATAGTCGTCGGTGGCATCTTTGACAGCTGTGATGGTTAAGACAAGAACCAAAGGCACGATGGTGGTGAACCAGGAGAGTGAAGAGATCTGCGGGATCAGCTGGGGACAGGGAGCGGCAGTTAGAGGGGACCAGGCCAGCCCCAGGGCCCTGCTACCCCTGCCTGAGGGTACCAAACCCCTTGTTCCCAGGGGCAGGACGTCCCCTCAGCCCTCCCGGCTGCCCAGCCAGGGTAGGACAGCACCGGGAGGGGGCCCCACCTGCCTCCCCAGACCCCCCAGCACTCACCTGCAGGATGAGGAGGAAGAGGAAATACGTGTTGGCCACTTCCTGGAACTGCTCGAAGAGGTTGACAGGCAGGAAGGTGACGATGTTGTACTTGGAGGTCTTGATGCAGTTGCTCTGGGGATGGATGGGACGAAAAGAGGGTTCACGAGTTGTCGAGGCCCCGTGGCCCCCCAGCATCGCTCTGGGGGCAGGGCTGCAGCTCACCGTGCCCCTAATTTGGGAGCTCTGGACAGCAACCTGGACC